TGTGTGTGTGTGTGTGTGTGTGTGTGTGTGTGTGTGTGTGTGCATTTAATTGTCACAAGTATACAGGCAGACAGAGAGAAAGAGATATAAAGAGAGAAACAGAGAGAAAGAGACAGAGAGAGAAAGAGAAAAATATTGAGATATTGAGAGAGAAATGATGGGGTAGCAAGTGAAATAGCGGCAGAAATAGAGAACTGGAGAGACAAATAGAAAGATACAGAAAAACAAGGAGAAAGAAAGACACAAAGAGAAAAGGACAGATAAAGAAAGAGCGTAACAAAGAAATAGAAAAAGAAAAAGACGTATCTACGCAGACAAAAACAGTGGTAGTGACGGTGGTAGTTTTTATTGTAGTAAGACTTTTACCGCACCTGCAACTCGTGAAGTCGTACAAATAGATTAAAGGTGTCACTAAAAAGTAATGTACAAAGAAAAGAAGGAGGAGAGAAAAGGACGATAGATGTTTGATAGGAAAAAAGGAGCAAACCGCAGCAGAGCACCCACCAACAACCCACATAGGGACAGAGGGGGAAGAAAGCAGCGCGGTCATACCTATGACTACTGACGACATTGATAAACCTATTCCACCAGCGTGTGTGGTGAAGCGGATAGGTGCTTCGCTGTCGCACTCAGGAGACCCGAGTTCGATTCCAAAGTGGGGGCGAGATTTTTATCGAGTATCTCGGTCTTCATGTTGGGATGTTGTATCTCACTAGCCCGGTTGGCCTTGACAGGAAGGGTTGAATGCCAGCTTCCTAAGTGATCTTGATCTAAATTGTGTCGATTGTGGTGTAAAATCACCTGTACGTTATTCAAATCCTACTCGCCTCCTCCAGGATGTAACGTGTGTCCTCACCGTACTGTCCGCCATCTTGCACATGGGTAACCTCCACTTCCGGTCGCGACCTGGTAAAGAGGAGCAGGCGTGTCTAGACGACCTGAAGGTTCTGCAGATTGGTGAGTTCACATCCTGTAACTGGAGAAAAAAACAATAACAAATGAACAAAATGATAATGAAATACAAATAATGAGTCTTCAACAGTCAAATCTGCCCTAATATAATGGCCACCCGCCTAGAAAAAGCCCCAGTACGAACGGCAACTTCCCACTCATCATATTATTATGCATCTTTCTCTTTCTCTTATGAAAATATTTCTGATGTGAAAATTGAAGATGAACTTAACTCTATTCAATTTTATTGTTCAAGCTATGACTTTTATACGAAATATTTAATTCTACCATTTCTAATTCAACGGACTGATAAAATAACACTGTGTTTAACCAATAAGAAATGAATTTTTTTAAATATGCACAACCTTGATTCAGTGGTTAGGCTGTTGGGCTCGCAACCGAAAGGTTGTTGGGTCGAACCCCTTCAGGGCTCAACTTCAACCATGTGGGAACGGGTACCCGCCTATGAACAGCAAAAGATCTGACCTGTCGTTGTAATGTCTGAGCGCGTGTAATCTGAATGCTTCCCGGGAAACTGAGAATGGCTCTTAGCGGTCTAAGATCTGCTGTGGTAATATTGGTTGTAAAGCGCATAGACCGTACTGCTGAACGTTGATATGCGCTTTATAAGTGAAATTACTACTAATGTTGTTTGTAATCGAAACTATTTTATTTTGGAAATTTGCATAACAATACAAATATTTCTTAAAATGTTATGAATGTCATTTATAATGAATATTGTTTTCACCGAAGTCTCTTGTAATAGTAAAACAATGTGAATTATTTTGCACGTACCTACCTACCTGCCTACCTACCTACTTACCTACCTACCTACCTACCTACCTACCTACCTACCTACCTACCTACCTACCTACCTACCTACCTGTCTATGAAGAGGTAAATA